TTTGCCCCCCCCCCCCAAGCGGTGTTCTTTTTTATACAAAGTCAGCTTATTGCCCCCACAATCCGGGTCCTCATTTTACCTACCTCGAAAGGATGGAAGGCTGACAAACAAACAAACACAACAAAGCCTCAACACAGTGTCTCTTGGAGACATCCAAGATCGAAGCATTGGCACCAGCTTGACTCGATTCTTACTGGGCACTCCAACCTCCCCAATATTACAATCACATGCAGCTATCAGGGTGCTGATTGTGATACAGACCACTCCTTGGTGTGCAGCAGAATAAAACTGCAAACAAATCACTCGAAGAAGGAAGGAAGACCACAAATTGACATCAACAAGGCCCGCAATCAGGGGAGGAATTTGCACAAGCACTCAAGGAAACTCTCCCAGGCCAAGCTGAAATAAATGCATCTGAACGATGGGAATATTTCAAGAATACTGTTTATAACACCACCTTGTCAGTATTTGGTAAGGAGATCAGAAAGAAAGCACATTGGTCTGAAGCCCATTCAGAGGAGTTGACACCAGCCATTGAAGAAAAACAGAGAGCTCTAATTGTATATAAAGCCTGTTCCAGTGAGCTCAACCTACAGGTTCTGTGAACTGCTCGTAGCAAAGTCCAACAGACCGCCATGAGATGTGCTAACGATTATTGGATGCAGCTTTGTTCTCGGATCCAGATAACAGCTCACACAAGCAACATCAAGGGGATGTATGATGGCATCAAGCAGGCCTTAGGTCCAACTCAGAAGAAATCTGCCCCTCTGAAGTCTGTTACAGGTGAGGTTATCCAGGACCGAGCACAGCAGATGGCACGCTGGGTGCAGCACTACTCTGAGTTATATTCCAGAGAAAATGTGGTAACTAAAGAAGCATTAAAAAACATTGAGTGCCTGCCTGTCTTGGAGGAGCTTGACATTGAACCAACTTTAGAAGAACTAAATACGGCCCTGGATTCCCTTGCCTCTGGCAAGGCACTCAGGAAAGATAACATCCCTGCCAAAGTTCTGAAGTGCTGCAAAGAGAACATCTCCACTGAACTGCATGAAATCTTCTGTCTTTGTTGGAGGGAAGGTGGAGTACCACAGGACATGAAGGATGCAAATATTGTCACACTGTACAACAACAAAGGTGACAGGGGTAACTGTAACAACTACCATGGCATCTCTCTTCTTAGTGTTGTAGGGAAGGTGCTTGCCCGTGTCGTACTTAAGAGGCTCCAGGTACTTGCAGAGAGAGTCTATCCAGAATTACAGTGTGGATTTCGAGCCAACAGGTCCACTACTGACATGGTATTTTCCCTTAGACAGTTGCAGGAGAAATGCAGGGAACAAAGACAGCCACTTTTCGTAGCCTTTATAGATCTTACAAAGGCTTTTGACTTGGTTAGCAGGGATGGCCTTTATAAAATTCTCCCCAAGATTGGATGTCCACCTCAGTTCCTCAACATCAGGTCTTTCATGATGAAATGAAGGGCACTGTAGTTTTTGATGGCTTAACTTCAGATTCCTTTGATATTTGAAGTAAAGCAGGGCTGTGTCCTTGCGCCAACTTTATTCAGGATCTTTTTTGCTGTCCAAACATGCTTTTGGAACTGCAACAGAGGGTATTTATCTCCGGACCAGATCAGACGGAAAACTCTTTAATCTCTCTAGATTGAGAGCAAAGTCTAAAGTCCAGCTGAAATGCTTATGAGATTTCCTCTTCGCTGATGATGCTGCCATCACTGCTCACTCTGCTGAAGACCTTCAACAACTTATGGACAGTTTTAGCAAGGCCTGCCAAGACTTTGGACTAACAATCAGATTAGATTAGATACTGAGCTGAATAAACATATTGGTAAAGCGGCCACCACATTTTCCAGACTTACAAAGAGAGTATGGCTTAATAAGAAGCTGACAGAACATACAAAGATCCAGGTCTATAGAGCCTGCGTCCTGAGCACACTCTTGTACTGCAGTGAGTCTTGGACCCTCTACGCATGGCAGGAGAGAAAGTTGAACACCTTTCATATGCACTGTCTCTGACGAATTCTTGGCATCACCTGGCAGGACAAAGTTCCAAATAGCGCAATCTTGGAAAGTGCTGGAATTTCTAGCATGTATACACTATTGAAACAGCGATGTCTAAGCTGGCTGGGGCATGTCATGAGAATGGCTGATGGTCAGATTCCGAAAGTTCTCCTGTATGGAGAATTAGTGCAGGGAAAGCGCCTCAGAGGGAGACTACAGCTGCGATTTAACGATATCTGCAAGAGGGACCTAAAGGCCCTAGGAATGGACATTAACAACTGGGAAACCTTGACCTCCGATCGTTCAGCTTGGAGGCTAAAGACGAAGCATGGCCTTCTCCAATTCGAAGAGACACTTGTTTGGCAGGCTGAGGTAAAGAGGCAGTCCCGGAACCAGCGAAATCTGGGGGCTGGGCAGGGGACAGAATGTATCTGCCCTCAGTGTGGAAGGGATTGCCACTCTTGAATTGGCCTTTTTAGTCACACTAGATGCTCTTTTAGGACCTCTTTCCAGAGCACAATACCATAGTCTCTTGAGACTGAAGGATGCCAATGAATAAAGAAGAAAAAAAGTCATTGGAAAAATATCAGAACTATGAAGGAGATGCACTGAAGTTAGTATATCATGAAGTTTTATTGAACACCAAAAAGATCAAATGAAGAATAGAAAAGAGATATAACAAGGCAAAATATTAAATGGGCAGTACCCCCAAAAACAGCAGGCAAAATAGAGAACAAGACCTGGCAATAGCTAGGAGCAGGAAATTTGAAGAAAGAAGCAGAGTGTAAGACTTGCCTCTTCCCTCTACTCAAAAAAGTAGAACTCTTGAAGCACTTAGCATTTCAAAAAGAAACTTTTATTGAAAGAAAGGTGATAGCAAGACAAGGAAAGCAGAATCTGAAGATTCCTGCGCAATTCCATTAGGTTAAAGCAGTTAGAAACTCCTCCCCTCAGTCTGGTGTTGAATAGGCCAATCCACAGGTGCGAAGTTGTTTTGAGAATTGCAGGCTGAGAAAGTAATAAGAAGTTGTTCTCAGGTGTCGGTTGCTGGTAGCTCCGGAGGTGAGACAAAACAGATGGCCCTCCCGCTGACATTCCCAAGAAAGTAAATCAAAGTATAGGATAGATAAGCTCCAGGAAAAAGGCTCTAAACTAAAGAATGCACCCAGGCCCTCTCCCCACCAGAATCGCAGCGTCCCGATAGGAATCTATGGGACCTGACACAGATGGGATAATTCTGGTTGCCCAAGACCAACATTTAAGAACAAATGCATATAAAGTTAGAATTGAAAAGACAGTAACAGACAGCAAATACTGTCTCTGCAAAGAAGCTGAAGAAACAGTGGACCACCTAGTTAGCTGCTGCATAAAGATTGCACAGATGGATTACAAACAATAGCATGAAAAAGTAGCAACAATGGTTCATTGGAATATCAACAACAATTATGATTTGCCTGCAAGCAAGAAGTGGTGGAACCACAAAATGGACAAAGTAATAGAAAATGAAGAAGCTAAGATGCTTTGCAACTTCAGAATTCAAACTGACAAGCAGCTGACCTGTAATCCCACAGGCTTAACCATTGTCAATAAGAAACACAAAGAAGTCTGGGTAGTAGGCATCACAGTACCTGGGGACAGCAATAGAAGAGAAAGAGAACCATTATTGCCAGACATTTATTGAACAATGATTTTTTAATATTTAAGAAGCTAGTATTGATTTGAGCAATGCCAAACAATGTCAAAGTCAACACAATACAGATATGATAAATGAATCTTTACAGTTATGTATATGGTATGGTACCAATAAATGTATTACAAATGTTGTGCCTTCCTTCTTTCTCTTGATTGTCTATCCTAAGTAACCATGTTACTCAAATTTCTAACTTTCCTTTCCCCCTGCAAGGTCGGATGGGTTAAGCTTATGGTCAGTCTATTACACAAAATAAATAAATAAGTAAATAAGTAAGTAAGTAAGCAATTAAAATCTGCCTGCCCTTATCTTACAGTCTTCCCCAGTTGGTTCTTCATATATATTCAGTTCCCAGGATTCCCTATCCAGGATGACCAATGTTGAGAATTTTAAAATTAGTCAATATTTAAAGAATACTCAGATATTGCGGAAGGAAATTCTGGAAAACAGCTATATCCATGCCAATTCAAATCCAAGCAATCTATATTTTTATAAGATCTCATTGTATTAAAGTATAGTAAATATTAAAGTTCTTACTTCCTTCAGAAAATCTTCTGTTTTACTTAATATGGCTTTGCAGTAGCATACAAAACAATGATAGATGTTTTATGTGAAAAAATTGCCAAATGTTAGGATCCAGTATGTATGCAAAGATAACATTTTATTTTGAAAAATATATCTTAAGTAATACATTCTAGCTATTCATATTAGTGGTTTATAATATTTTTAGGCATGACTGTAGTGTTATATGATTAATGTAAACAAATATTATGTTACTATAGAAATAGCTGAATTATATAATTACGGTGAATAGCCTAGAAATGGTGTATTAAATGCTTTTTAGCATTTCATACTTCAGGTATGTGCTATTTGGGCCTCCGGATATTGTTCAATTGTTACTCCCTTTATTGGTCTTGGTGCCTAGGACTATCAGGAATTGGAATTCAATGAAATTAATTGTTCAGCTGCATATTTATTTTGTGCACATCAGAACCACTTAAATTATTCATGTGTAGTGTCCTATACGAAGAGAATAACCATTCATTTGAACAGTTCAGTTAAATATATATGCTAATATGGGCTTTTTTCAGCTTTAAATAATAGATTTATACTAACAAAATTTAATACTGTAGTGCCTAGCATTTTATATAGTCTTTCTATACCAGGTTATTTATATACATTTTACATTAAACTTCAACTCATGAACCCTGGATGTTAGATCTCTTTTTATCAACTCAAACAACTCACTGTCAATATTTGATTAAAAGTCCTAGGTCCTAGGAACAGTTCGTTACCTTTTTCAGTTGTATAGATAATCTGAAGTGCAAAGATCTTTGATTGAGGTTTCATTCTATAGGAAAAAAAAGTAGATAATTTTGGATTATGCTTCATCTTGTGACTTCTCCTTTTAGCCTCATGGGAAGACAGTATCTCCCTTATCATTGCCAAGACAGACTCTGTTGGTATTGATTTAGACAGAAAACTTCAATACATTTCAGATTGATTATTTTTTCTAGCACCTCATCTAACGGTAAATAAAACTAATCTATATACCTTTCCACTTCCATTTTATTTCTGATATAATTGTCAAAATAAGTCTATGAATCTGCCAAAAAGATTGTAATATAAATTTCTCAAGGGCAAAAAAGAACAGAATCCTGCCACTTTAATCTGGTAACTAATTTCAGGTATATACGTTTATCTTTGCATACAAATCTTTCTCTCAGACAGGAATTTTCCAATTTATTTTAATGGAGGAATGACATTTGCAAATTTTCATTTGCATATTTGCCTAGGTTGAGAGAAACATTTTGTACTTTTAAGCAGGAAGTTGCTTTTCCTTCCTATTAGTCCCTATTCATTAATGCCTGCTACCATAATATATATTCATCAGAATATTTAACAGAAACAAAGGTGAATCTAGGTCAGCTACCAATCCTAGTTTCTCATTTCATTGCCCTGGATTTTAAAGCATTACCTTTATTTCAGAATATTTTTTAAATTAATATTTTTAATATCATTAAAAAAAACATGCATACTTTCAGTTATACTCTCTCTACTCTTTTCTCAGTTACTAAATCTACACCAGAAGTTCAGAATAAAATTATATTTATAATTCTAACTTTCAAAGAGGATTCACAAATTTATCACTTATTGTATTAAACAAAAAGGAAGATGATTTTAATTTAATTCTTTCAGGGGAAAAAGCACAGTAATTCTTCCATGTCAATTTAAGGAATACTAATTCCAGCTGAAACAATTGTAAATACACTTCTCATTCAACAAAAGAATGCATGTATCCACAAGTATGTGTATGAATGCATGGATGTATCGTATGTTTGTCAGTAAAATTTATTTTGTGAAAAGGTACCCTATTTTATAAAATCATATGTGAACTATTCTCACAGGAACTTCTCTCACAACCAGAACAATCAAGTGAAAATAATAGAACTACAACTGTCTGAATATCAGCAACACCTCAGAGAAAAGATAAAATACATGAATGAAGCTGTAGAACAGTGATTAATGAAAAAAGGGCTGCTGAATTAAATATGACAAAAATGACTAAAGAGATGTAGTTCAACCATGTACAGCTCATGTACATAGGATTGCCAGGTCTGCTTCCAAAAAATAGCGGACAAGCAGGAGGGGGGGGGGTTAAGTAGTAAAAATTTTTTTTAAAAATTTACAATTAAATTATATATTTTCTTACAAACATTTTAACACGTATTAAAATAATCACTTCAAAACTTTACTTAAAATTCAAAACATCAAATATATTATAATAATATGTAAAATATTAAATTACATTTTACTTTGCTGTCGTGTGTATTTTTTATTTGACTGCGCAGCTTTGATCAATTCCTTGTGTTTAAGGAATAATTCTTTAATTTCAGTACAACGTTGAGAAATATTAAAAAATATACAAAGTTCACTTCGAACTGATACAAGCAGTCGGTTACGTTCGTCGGTCCACAGATTTCCCACGATGCTGAAAATTCGTTCAACGTTTGCATTTGATACCGGAATTGATGCACAATACTGGAACAGTTTCAGTAAACTCGGAGCTGGCTCTTTCTTGAAAAAATACGTCCACTTATCAAGGGATGAATCGCTCTGCAGATGAACATAAACTTCTTCTAAGGCAGAAATTCATCGAAGAGAGTGTTGGGTGGAAGTTCTTCTCGCCATGGTGATAATAACCAGATGTTCTTCATTTCTTCTAAAGTTGGAGGATTATTGCGATCAATTAGATTGAAACGATTTAGCGTCTCATATACTGAATTGGTGAAATTATACCACTTTTCTAGGTACGCAATGGCTCTTTGATACACATTGATGGCTTCTTTCTTGAACTTTTGCACGGCATTCTCAGGCAAATGTTTTTCACGTAAGGCAAATAAAACTTTCATTCCAAAAAACTGCTCATCGTATTTTTTTGGCAAAGAATCACACAGTTTATACATGATAATGTGAAGATCACATGCAAGAATTTTCTTGCTTTCCAGCTTCAGTAGGGTGTCTTGCATTATTGACATGAAGAAGTGCGTGAAATATAAATACAATTCTGAAATTGTTGGTTCATCGTCCTTTGCGAGTTCATTTTCCTGATCCGAAATAAGGTTCCAGATAACCTTATGGCACTCATCAGATCCAAGAGAAATAAAATACGATTTTAGAGGTATCCAGTTTAAAAGAAGTCTTTCGACCACTTTAAACAAACTTAACCAACGTGTTGGAACATGGTGCAAAACTTCATGGAATTCTGACTCGCAAAACTCAAAAAATGATTTCAACTCTTCTTGTTTCTTTGCAGAATTCGAAAATTTGGCAAAAACCTTCAGCACTACATTTTCGATATCAAAAGATAACTGCTTTAATGCATTTTTTGCGCTGTGGTGTAAAATGTGATTATTGCAATGAGCATTCGATCTTTGTCTCATTCTAACTTATGAAAAAAAAGACAAAACGTGATTCTCCTATCCTTCTTCTCTTAGACTGTACAGCTTTAGATTACGTACCATTTCATCATAAAGCTTTTGAATTAAAAAAATGTCCACTATTTTGTGAAAAAAATAGTGAACATAATGTGAAAAAAGTGGACTGTCCGCTCAAATAGTGGACACCTGGCAACCCTACAGCCTTACAATAGTAACATAAATAGAACTGGTAAACTAACTAAAAATCAAAACCAAAGTTGAAAATAATATTTTAAGTATTACTGAGTGTTGTTCAGAAGAAAAATCATCATCATTAAAACACTGCAGAACAAGAATAAATGAATAAAATCAGGTAATAAAAAATACAAAGCAGAGAATTCTAATAGAATAGTGGAATACTAAATAATAACAACTTTACACAAACAGAGTTAGTAAACCAGATTACAGCCCTTGATCACATAATGACTAAGATTGTACAAAAGACATTGTAGATCAATTGCAAAACAAGACAGGAAGAGATGGAATTCAAATACACCATTAAAAAACTAAAACAGTGATAATCTAATTTAGCCTGCCTCCATTGTGGACTGGGGATAAGGGAAAGGTTAGGTAATCAACATATGTCTTCTATAAAAAAAATTTGGATATCTCCATCTTACAGTTAGTAAAAAGTGCAGATTAGCCAAAACTATTGTTTTAGATTTGGAAAATAAAAAATTGGTGGTATATAAGTGCCCAGAGAATTAGGAACCATTTCAACATATTAATAACAAGAAAAAAGTCAAGGAAACAGTTGGTCCACTAAAGAGAAAAGATGGCAAGGAAGTAACAGGCAGAAGGGAGAAAGCAGAGCTTTCTTTGCAACAGTCTTCACGCAAAAAGAAATTATAGCCCAACGTACCAAAAAAAGCTACTGTAAAAGACAAACCAGAAATGAAAATTAAAATAAGTAAGAAAATGGTAAGAGAACATGTATCTGTCCTTGATGAATATAAATCACTGGGACCTGACAGATTACATCCCAGGATTCTGAAGGAGCTGGCAGATGTTATCTCAGAACCTGTACCATATCTTTCAAAAATCCTGAAGCACTGGGAAAGTACCTGAGGATTGGAAAAGGGCTGATGTGGTTCGTCTCTTCAAGAAAGGAGAAAAAAAACAGTCCCAGGAAACTACAGACCAATCAGTCTAACATCAATACCTGAAAAAATCTGGGAAAAGATAATAACAAAACAGATCTGCCAACATCTAGAAACGAGTAAAGTAATAACTAGAAGTCAGGATGGTTTTGTTAAAAACAGATCATGCCAAACCAATCTTTTTTTTTTTATTGAAAAGTTTTACAAAAAAAACAAAAATTTTCTTCCCCCCATGTTCCCCCCACCCTTTCCCTTCCCTCATCCCACCCTCCCCCCCAGACTTCCCAGAGCAAAATACAAGGTATTTCATTTAACAATCATAAACTAGATTAAACTACTTATCCTCAGACTACTAACTCCTCCCCTGAAACCTTAATTCCACTATAGATAACATAATACTACTTAATGTTCATTCATAAGCTATTTTATATTTTCTTGTCTGATACTTATTTTGAATATAATCAATCCATCTTCTCCATTCCGATACGTATCTTTCTTGTGTATAGTCCTTCAAGTACGCTGAGATTTTCGCCATTTCTGCTAGGTTCGTTACTTTCAACATCCACTCTTCAATAGTAGGCAAAGAGTCCTTTCAATATTGCGCTACCAGCAGCCTAGCTGCTGATATTAAATTCAAAATCAATTTAGTCTCTGATACTGTACAATCCATAGTTATACCCAATAGGAACAATTGAGGAGTAAATTTCAACCTTCTTTTCAGAGTATTCTGCATCACCCACCAAATTTTTATCCAAAATGCTTTGATTTTCTTACAGGTCCACCATATATGATAATAGGTTGCATCATTACATTCACATCTCCAACATTTAGCTTGCAAATTCAAGTACATACATGATAATTTTTTAGGATCTAAGTGCCATCTATAAAACATTTTATAAAAATTCTCTCTCAAATTTTGTGCTTGCGTAAATTTAACATTTCTGACCCAAATCTTTTCCCACGTTTCCATCATCACTGGTTCCTGAAAGTTTTGTGCCCATTTTATCATACAATCCTTAACCAATTCCGTTTCTGAATCTATTTCCAATAAATTTTCTTTACTATTTTCTTTCAGGCCTCTCAATCTCAAAGCAAACTCCATGGACCTGTACTGTAACATTACCAATTCATCATCCACTTTCTCTGTTCTGGTCATAACATCTCCCATTTTGCTTTCCAAATTTAAATTGGCTTGATTAATTTCTTCAACTTTCCCATCAAGCTGGATGGGAAACAATATCTTCTCTTATTTCATCATGTTTCTCTGCAAC